ATCGGACGAAAATATATATGGGAGCTATATCTAAATCTGAACCGATTTTCACGAAACTTTACACACACCATTCTTAACTTTATTCAGCACGCTGTGCCAAATTTCGTGCAAATCGGAAGATATATAGGGACTTTGGTCCACCATTTACATAAAATCGGACGAAAATATATATGGAAGCTATATCTACATCTGAACCGATTTTCAGGAAACTTAACACACATCATTCTAGACCAAATTCAGTACGCTGTGCCAAATTTCGTGCAAATCGGAAGATATATAGGACCTTTGGTACACCATTTACATTAAATCGGACGAAAATATATATGGGAGCTATATCTAAATCTAAACCGATTTTCAGGGAACTTAAAACATGTCATCCTAGGCCTAATTCAATACGCTGTGTCAAATTTCGTCCAAATCGAAAGATATTTAGGGACTTTTGTGCACCATTTACCTTAAATCGTACCAAAGTATATATGGGAGCTATATCTAAATCTGAACCGATTTTCACCAAACTTAGCACACATCATTCTAGACTTAATTCATTACGCTGTGTCAAATTTCGTGCAAATCGAAAGATATATAGGGACTTTGGTGCACCATTTACATTTAATCGGACGAAAATATATATGGGAGCTATCTCTAAATCAGAACCGATTTTCACCAAACTTAGCACACATCATTCTAGGCCTAAATCATTAGGCTGTGCCAAATTTCGTTCAAATCGGAATATATATAGGGACCGTTTACATTAAATCGGACGAAACTATATATGGGAGTCATATCTAAATCTGAACCGATTTTTCCCAATTTCAATAAGGTTCGCCCTTGGGCCAAATAAGTTACCTATGCCAAATTTCATCCAATTCGGATCATAAATGCGACCTGTACTTTGTTTACAATTTAAGATGGACAGACAGACGGACGGATGGTCGGACGGACATGCATAAATCGACTCAGAAAGTGATTCTATGCATATTCTCAAAAGAAACCATGTGTCTATCTTGTTTCCTTTTGCCTGTTACAAACATATGTACAAAGGCATAATAACTATAATACCACAGTGTGGTGAAGGGTATAAAAATCTACGCCTATTGTTAGTCTTCAAAAATATTTTTTTAGAAAACCCACGCCTATCAATTCTGCCCTAATTTTTTTTTAAATACTTCCTAATAATATTTTTTTCTCTCATTGAACTAGTCAATAGACTGCTGAAAGACTTAAGAAACAAACATCACATGTGTTTTTTCCCTATCACTCTCTCCCAAAGATAAATCCCTTGTTACTCTTTCTCTCTCTCTCTCCCAATGTAAATGGCATGCCTCTGCAGCCAATTGTGCATGTCTATGATAGACTTAAGACACAAACTTGATGATGTAGCTTATCTCTTGCTCTTTCTCTCTCAAAGCCATGGCATTGGGAGTTTCTCACTATGCAAATTAAATAGAATAAAAACAAAAGACTTAAGACACAAACTTGGTATGTGGGGATTCTCATTGAATTACCTCCTCTTTTTGGCTGTTTTTGTTTAATTAACAACATTTCAATACTGTCCTAATTTTTTAAATAATTTTTCAATAATATTTTTTCTCTCATTGAATTAGTCAATAGACTGCTGAAAGACTTAAGAAACAAACATCACATGTGTTTTTTCCCTATCACTCTCTCCCAAAGATAAATCCCTTGTTACTCTTTCTCTCTCTCTGCCAATATAAATGGCATGCCACTGCAGCCAATTGTGCATGTCTATGATAGACTTAAGACACAAACTTGATGAAGTTGCTTATCTCTTGTTCTTTCTCTCTCAAAGCCATGGCAATGGGAGATTCTCACTATGCAAATTAAATAGAATAAAAACAAAAGACTTAGGACACAAACATGGTATGTGGGGATTCTCATTGAATTACCCCCTATTTTTTGATCATTTTTTGTTTAATTAACAACATTTACCGTTAAAATGTTTAACATTTATTTATAATTATCACCCCAAACGAAAAGAAAAATAAATAAAATTATTTTTTAGATAAACATTCCCAGTGAGTGATACCCCAAAAATTAATTTCGGAAACCCAATAAATTATGTTTATTTTTTGGGGTAGCCAAGAGACGACACTTTGATTTCAGTTTCAGGCCACATTTCATGTCATCCCAAATTTGTGTTGTGTGTGTGTCTGCGCGACAGTTGTCAACATCAAAATGTTTAAATTATGCTTGCCATGTTTTGGATGGGTTCGGTGGTGGTGGTGGTGTGGGAAAAAAATTGAAATAGCCCCCATCATAGTTAGTTAGAGGAACTGTGATTGAGTGGCAAGTTCGTTGGTTGCGTGTGAAGCTGTGTGCTTTCCAACTGTTTATCGTTTTGTTGTTTTGTTTGAGGTTTGTTGGCGGGTTTGCTTATCAGACATGTGAACCATCTAACGTTGACATTAATTCCAATTTGTGATTTTTAGTTCGCTGAGACTATGGTGGTGGCTGTCTGGATGACAAAGCATCAATTTTAAAATCAGAAAAAAACCTTTTGGCTTCCATAACAAAAAAAAAACAAGGTGTTTTGATGTGATGGCATTGCTGGCCAACCAGCTGACTATGGCTTGTGTTGTTGTCGATGGATTTGTTACTGTTGCCGTTTTTTTATATCGATGCCATCTAATGACTTTTGAAAATCTCATGTCAACGGACCATTGCTACACACATTTATCATGTTTAGACTTCTAGGTTGATTTATTTATTTTTTTATTATTATTTGTGTCCATCTCAGATTATTTATGTTTTGGATTTTTCATCAAGTCATTCGAACTGATGACGATGATGGTGGTGGTGTGTTAAAAATTAGATTTAATAAGTTATTAATTTTTTTTTGTGATAGGGGGACCCAAGGAGAAAAAACATTTTTATACGTTCTTAATTTCAGACAAAAAAAAAAAAAAACAAAAAAAAAAAAAAAACAAAACTGCTACAAAATATAACATGACCAATTTTTTTGTTTTGGTGGAGAATTTTTTGTGTGAAAGCAATTTTTTTGTAAGACTTGAATTGAGAGCACAGAACCTTACGGTGGTCCAAATTCCCAATGTCTATTTTTTGTTCAGTCTTTTTTTTCAATTTTTTTCTTGATGACCTGATTTTGGCAAACAATATTTTTTAGGCTATCTGAAATTATTGATAAAAAAATAAGAATTGGCACAATTTTGATAGCCTAGAAGCACATAAAAAATAGTTATAGATAATTAAATAAAAAATCATCTACACTGTATTGATGATGACAGACTTTCCTGTCAGTGGAAAAATTATAAATGGTTTAAAATAAAAATGGGGTTACTGCTGAAAATAAATTAATGATGAACAAGTAAACGGGTCAATAATAAAACAATATATAAAAAAAGTCGGATTGGGCCGACTATATGATACCCTTCACCACAAGTCGAAAGATATATAGGCACTTTGGAACCCCATTTACCTCAGATCGGGCGAAAATATATATAGGAGCTATATCTAAATCTGAATCGATTTTCACGAAACTATGCACACATCATTCTAGACTTAATTCAGTACTCTATGCCAAATTTCGTGCAAATCGAAAGATATATAGGGACTTTGGTGGACAATTTACCTTAAATCGGACGAAAATATATATGGGAGATATATCCAAATCTGAACCGATTTTCAAAAAACTCGACACACATCATTCTAGACCTAATTCATTACGCTGTGCCAAATTTCGTGCAAATCGAGAGATATATAGGGTCTTTGGTGCACCATTCACATAAAATCGGACGAAAATATATATGGGACCTATATCTAAATCTGAACTGATTTTCACGAAACTTTGCACACACCATGCTTTACTTAATTCAGTACGCTATGCCAAAATTCGGGCAAATCGAATGATTTTCAGGGACATTAGTGCACCATTCACATAAAATCGGACGAAAATATATATGGGAGCTATATCTAAATCTGAACTGATTTTCACGAAACTTTGCACACACCATGCTTTACTTAATTCAGTACGCTATGCCAAAATTCGGTCAAATCGAATGATTTTCAGGGACATTAGTGCACCATTTACATAAAATCGGACGAAAATATATATGGGAGCTATAACTAAATCTGAACCGATTTTCACGAAACTTGGTAGAAATCATTCTAGACCTTATTCATTACGCTGTGCCAAATTTCGTGCAAATCGAAATATATAGGGACTCTGGTACACAATTTACCTTAAATATATATATATATATATATATATAGGGCTATACTCTGGATTTTACACAATTTACCTTAAATCGGACGAAGATATATATGGGAGCTATATCTAAATCTGAACCGATTTCAATAAAACTTGGCACACGTTAAGTCTATCCTAACTTCAGTACGTTGTGCAAATTTTCATGCCAATCGACCTAAATTTGACTCTTTGGTGCACCATTTGCGAAAAATCGGACGATCATATATATGGGAACTATATATCTAAATCTGAACCGACTTTTCCCAATTTCAATGGGGTTCGTCCCTGGGCCAAATAAATGATCTGAGCCAAATTTCATCTCATTCGGATAATAAATGCGACCTGCATTTTCTTTACAATTTAACATGGACAGACGGACGGACCGACATGCATAAATCGACTCCCAAAAGGAACCATGGTCTATATCGATTCCTTTTGCCTGTTACAAAGATATGCGCAGAGACATAATACCCTGTATCACAGTGGGGTGAAGGGTATAAAAATCTACGCCTTATGTTGGACCCTTAAAAATAATTTTTAAAAAATTATTTGTGTGACCCAGTGTCCGCAGCGCATCTCTGTTAATTTGTTTAACACTCAAAGCTTTATTGTTAAGAATCGTAAGCGTTAAGACAAAGAAGCAACAATTACAACAACAACTTGCTATAAATAATGCACAAATATTTGCCTAATCATTGTTTATGGCCGTCAGACCCGCAAAGCAATCAGCCAGCCTGCCAACCAACCATCCATCCACCATTCTCGACGAAGATGGATTATTTCCAGATACGCAACAACAACCAGCGCAAGCGTTTCCAAATAGATTTTCTCAAGCATCGGATGGTCGTATGCAAATTATTTTTACACACTCTGATTAAAGACGGATTCATGCCGTGACAGAAGAGTTCGAGGAAAAGCATTAGAGCTGGAAAGAGAATTAAAAAAGAAAATTTCGAAAAAATGAAAATCAAAAAAAAAAAAAAAAAATCGAAAAGAAAGTTTGAAGTCAGAAAAAAATGAGGTAGCAGTTCCACCCTAACATCCAGCCACCACCACAACCCTCCATACCTGCCATGGTATAGCCCACAATGAGCACAATAAATGCACCCTGCAGCATACGCAAATTTAATGGCTGAATGATGGTCGTTGCAACCTGCGGCTTCTTCATTTCGGCATTATCGGCCGTCTTGCCTTGCGATTCGTTTGGGCTGTTCGTTTCATCGCCCTGTGATGACATCTCAGCGGGATCCGCTTGATGGGATTTCTGGTTCTTATTCTGATTGTTGTTGTGGTGATTTTTCTTCATATCTTTGGTTATCATGCGTGACTGAGTCTCATATTCGGCTGTGGTCATTTTGTCCAGAATGCCACCTTCGAAAAGATGAATGAGCCTAAGCGAACAGAAAAAAGAGAAATTAAAAAATGAGGTGTGCGTGAGTGTGACTTATGGGTCAAGGATATTTGCGGCACTCTTACACATTATTCAAGCTATCCAAAAATGGACAACCAATTTGCACGGCCACGGCGGAATAGCGGGTATAGAGTTTCTGGCTTAGCTGGAAGGTCTTGGAGCCTAAAAGGAGAACAGAAGATAATTTTCAAGGGAAAGTTTTCTTTTTCTCCCCTAATCTCACCATATTGCTGTATATTGAAATACAAAGTCTCACGGCCACCCAGTACCGCCTTATTCTCCAGGCCATCGGCAATCAAATGCATTCCCGCCTCCACCGAATCAATTAAATAGCCTTCCTCATCGGGACTTTGAAGCTTCATCAAAGCGTACAGTTGGCGGAATATTTCAGTGCCATTCTGGAAAACATTTTTTTGGGGACAAAATTATTTTTGGGGGTCTGCCTTGGGTGTGCATAAGGGATGGATTTTTGTCCAAAAAAAATCCACGCCTTATGGTCTGTCCCAAAAATATTTTTTAAAAAATCCACGCCTTATGGTCTGTCCCAAAAATATTTTTTAAAAAATCCACGCCTTATGGTCTGTCCCAAAAATATTTTTTAAAAAATGCACGCCTTTTGGTCTGTCCCAAAAATATTTTTTAAAAAGTCCACACCTTTTGGTCTGTCCCAAAAATATTTTTTTAAAAATCCACGCCTTTTGGTCTGTCCCAAAAATATTTTTTAAAAAATCCACGCCTTTTGGTCTGTCCCAAAAATATTTTTTTTAAAAATCCACGCCTTTTGGTCTGTCCCAAATATTTTTTTTAAAAATCCACGCCTTTTGGTTTGTCCCAAAAATATTTTTTAAAAAATCCACGCCTTTTGGTTTGTCCCAAAAATATTTTTTTAAAAAATCCACGCCTTATGGTCTGTCCCAAAAATATTGTGTCCCAAAAATATTGTTTAAAAAATCCACGCCTTATGGTCTGTCCCAAAAATATTTTTTAAAAAATCCACGCCTTATGGTCTGTCCCAAAAATATTTTTTAAAAAATCCACGCCTTATGGTCTGTCCCAAAAATATTTTTTAAAAAATCCACGCCTTATGGTCTGTCCCAAAAATATTTTTTAAAAAATCCACGCCTTATGGTCTGTCCCAAAAATATTTTTTAAGAAATCCACGCCTTATGGTCTGTCCCAAAAATATTTTTTAAAAAATCCACGCCTTATGGTCTGTCCCAAAAATATTTTTTAAAAAATCCACGCCTTTTGGTCTGTCCCAAAAATATTTTTTAAAAAATCCACGCCTTTTGGTCTGTCCCAAAAATATTTTTTAAAAAATCCACGCCTTTTGGTCTGTCCCAAAAATATTTTTTAAAAAATCCACGCCTTTTGGTCTGTCCCAAAAATATTTTTTAAAAAATCCACGCCTTATGGTCTGTCTCAAAAATATTTTTTAAAAAATCCACGCCTTATGGTCTGTCCCAAAAATATTTTTTAAAAAATCCACGCCTTATGGTCTGTCCCAAAAATATTTTTTTAAAAAAACCACGCCTTATGGTCTGTCCCAAAAATATTTTTTAAAAAATCCACGCCTTATGGTCTGTCCCAAAAATAATTTTTTTTTTTAAAAATCCACGCCTTATGGTCTGTCTCAAAAATATTTTTTAAAAAATCCACGCCTTATGGTCTGTCCCAAAAATATTTTTTAAAAAATCCACGCCTTATGGTCTGTCCCAAAAATTTATTTTAAAAAATTCACGCCTTATGGTCTGTCCCAATTTTTTTTTTTTTAAATCAACGCCTTATGGTCTTTCCCAAAAATTTTTTGTCCCAAAATTTTTTTTTTTAAAAAACACGCCTTATGGTCTGTCTTAAAAATATTTTTTTAAAAAATCCTCGCCTTATGGTCTGTCCCAAAAATGTTGTTTAAAAAATGCACGCCTTATGGTCTGTCCCAAAAATATTTTTTAAAAAATCTGCACTCCGCGCTTACCTCCAGCATTTCCAGCGACGAACTTTCCCTCTCCACAAACAGTAGATAGCCATCCTGTATCATGGCCTTTTGCAGGCGATGTAGGGTATTAATGGGTGGCTCTCGTGCAGGGCGAGCAAATTGCGATGTCAATTGGGCCGAGTAGACATCCGCCAAGACATAGGTGGCAGCAATCCAATAGACAATCATCAGGAACTTGGCACGATAGCCGTGATATAATTCCTGGCAAGCTGAGGGAAAACTAAATTTAAAATTTCAGGATAAAACGTTGGGCGCCACTTCTTACATTGCTTCAGAAACAACTGCACCGTAAACCAAATACATTTATAAAAGAGATTATCAGGTAGCTCATCTTCCTTAGCCACCTTCCTATCCCTTTCCCGATCCTCACAGGCCAATCTGCGTGAGATTTTATTATCCAGCCGCGTAATCTCCCTTATATACACCATGTGGTAGGGATTCCGTTTAAATGTCCTTTTCATCCTTCGCTCCTTGAAATCCGTTTGCCAGCGGAAGGGTATATAGATGATAAAATAGAATACCGGTCCCGACACAATCACCGTCAAAATGAGATAAGGCCACACATCCGCCTTAAAGGGTCTCAAAATGGCCAAGGCCTCATTCAGCCGGCGTGGAGCATGTGTAGCAAAGGCACCCGAATCGGCCAGGGTGAAAAATGAAAATTCAATTGCCTTGCGTCGTTCCCAGCTCAGTGAGACATCACCCAGAAAGAAATCACCCAACTGTTACACTCAAGAAAATTGGTCTGCAATTTATTTCCAACTTACCCCATTTTGCAGCAGGCCTATGCCACCGGTAAAGGTTTCATTTGTCAGCGACCCTTGTGTCCGTCCAGGGGTATCAATGTAGACGAACTCAAAATGCATGTGTTCGGCCAAAAGTTGTAACAGACGATGATCACGGCCACCCGTCACATTGACTTCGGGCATTTCCAAATCATCTACCATTTCATAGCTTTCATCGGAGGTTAGAGAGTCCAGGGTTGAGTTGCCCGACGTTTCATTTTCATAATTAACCCAAAACCAGGGAGGAGACTGGAAAAAAAATTCAAAACTATAAAAAAGTCTCCAAAAGCGATTTTAAAAAAAATGTGATAGTCTCTAAAAATATTTTTTGATAGTCTCCAAAAATATTCTTTTAAAAAATCCACGCCTTGTGATAGTCTCCAAAAATATTCTTTTAAAAAATCCACGCCTTGTGATAGTCTCCAAAAATATTTTTTAAAAAATCCACGCCTTGTGATAGTCTCCAAAAATATTTTTTAAAAAATCCACGCCTTGTGATAGTCTCCAAAAATATTCTTTTAAAAAATCCACGCCTTGTGATAGTCTCCAAAAATATTTTTTAAAAAATCCACGCCTTGTGATAGTCTCCAAAAATATTCTTTTAAAAAATCCACGCCTTGTGATAGTCTCCAAAAATATTCTTTTAAAAAATCCACGCCTTGTGATAGTCTCCAAAAATATTTTTTAAAAAATCCACGCCTTGTGATAGTCTCCAAAAATATTTTTTAAAAAATCCACGCCTTGTGATAGTCTCCAAAAATATTTTTTAAAAAATCCACGCCTTGTGATAGTCTCCAAAAATATTTTTTAAAAAATCCACGCCTTGTGATAGTCTCCAAAAATATTTTTTGATAGTCTCCAAAAATATTTTTTGATAGTCTCCAAAAATAATTTTTATAAAATCCACGCCTTGTGATAGTCTCCAAAAATATTTTTTAAAAAATCCACGCCTTGTGATAGTCTCCAAAAATATTTTTTAAAAAATCCACGCCTTGTGATAGTCTCCAAAAATATTTTTTAAAAAATCCACGCCTTGTGATAGTCTCCAAAAAAATATGTTAATAAATCCACGCCTTGTGATAGTCTCCAAAAAAATATGTTAATAAATCCACGCCTTGTGATAGTCTCCAAAAACATTCTTTTAAAAAATCCACGCCTTGTGATAGTCTCCAAAAATATTCTTTTAAAAAATCCACGCCTTGTGATAGTCTCCAAAAATATTCTTTTAAAAAATCCACGCCTTGTGATAGTCTCCAAAAATATTCTTTTAAAAAATCCACGCCTTGTGATAGTCTCCAAAAATATTCTTTTAAAAAATCCACGCCTTGTGATAGTCTCCAAAAATATTCTTTTAAAAAATCCACGCCTTGTGATAGTCTCCAAAAATATTCTTTTAAAAAATCCACGCCTTGTGATAGTCTCCAAAAATATTCTTTTAAAAAATCCACGCCTTGTGATAGTCTCCAAAAATATTCTTTTAAAAAATCCACGCCTTGTGATAGTCTCCAAAAATATTCTTTTAAAAAATCCACGCCTTGTGATAGTCTCCAAAAATATTCTTTTAAAAAATCCACGCCTTGTGATAGTCTCCAAAAATATTCTTTTAAAAAATCCACGCCTTGTGATAGTCTCCAAAAATATTCTTTTAAAAAATCCACGCCTTGTGATAGTCTCCAAAAATATTCTTTTAAAAAATCCACGCCTTGTGATAGTCTCCAAAAATATTCTTTTAAAAAATCCACGCCTTGTGATAGTCTCCAAAAATATTCTTTTAAAAAATCCACGCCTTGTGATAGTCTCCAAAAATATTCTTTTAAAAAATCCACGCCTTGTGATAGTCTCCAAAAATATTCTTTTAAAAAATCCACGCCTTGTGATAGTCTCCAAAAATATTCTTTTAAAAAATCCACGCCTTGTGATAGTCTCCAAAAATATTCTTTTAAAAAATCCACGCCTTGTGATAGTCTCCAAAAATATTCTTTTAAAGAATCCACGCCTTGTGATAGTCTCCAAAAATATTTTTTTTAAAAATCCACGCCTGTCTCTAGTCTCCAAAAATATTTTTTTAAAGAATCCACGCCTTGTGATAGTCTCCAAAAATATTTTTTTAAAGAATCCACGCCTTGTGATAGTCTCCAAAAATATTTTTTAAAGAATCCACGCCTTGTGATAGTCTCCAAAAATATTTTTTAAAGAATCCACGCCTTGTGGCGTAGATTTAGAGATGCCTTGTGGAAGTCTCCAAAAATATTTTTTAAAAACTCTACGCCTGGTGGAGGTCTCCAAAAATATTTTTTAAAAAATCTACGCCTTGTGGAGGTCTCCAGAAATATTTTTTAAAAAAATCCACGCCTTGTGATAGTCTCCAAAAATAGGTTTTAAAAAATCCACGCCTTGTGATAGTCTCCAAAAATATTTTTTAAAAAATCCACGCCTTGTGAAAGTCTCCAAAAATATTTCTTTAAAAAATCTACGCCTTGTGAAAGTCTCCAAAAATTTTTTTGATAGTCTCCAAAAATATTTTCTAAAAAATCCACGCCTCTTGATAAACCCCAAATTTTTTTAAATGTTCCCCGCCTCTGTCCTTACATGAAAAACAGGCACCCGAAATATCCTTCCATGAAAATTCGAATAAACATTGGAGGCCGGTGGCAACAGCGGCTCCTTACTCAGGCCCAAATTATCACCATCATACCAGCTAACCAGGGACAGGTGGCCATTACCATCCGGATGGGCTTGGTTGTAGTAAATTCGGAATCTGAAAAAAAAAATATTCAAAATATGTTCTCCATTCTGAAAATTTTCCGATATGACTTACGCCTTCTTCCTTGGCCTGGTGATGACCACAGCCCGCATTGGTTCCCGAAAAGTGATTTCCGATCTCTTGGGTGGTTGCCGAGCACCCCAATAGAATATGAAGAGGCTCAAGCGATGAGCCAATTTTCGTTCCAAAATCATCGGCGTCAATTCTGCCGGTTGGCGAAAAATCAAATTGACACTCTCTATGGAACCGGCCAGGCTCGCTTCCACGAAACCGAAAAATAATTCCGTATCATAAAATATTACCGATTTGAAGTAGAGTTGGTGTAGCCTCAAAATAAATTCATCAACATGGACTCGCAAATCGGCATCCATTTCCCAGTCGTCCTCTTCGCAGGGCTTTACCAAAATTGCCAATTGGATGGGTTTTAGGCCCTTAACGATTTGGGAGAGAGCTGGAATTTGAAAATAAATAAAATTTTTCTTTAAATCATTTCACACTCTTCCGGACCTATGGACACATCAGAAATATTCCTTTCCACTTCCCAGGTTATGGAACCAAGGCAGCCGATTATGAATCCCAAGAAAATTACAATTTTAAAAATTGCCATCTGCCCCACTTTTTGTCTTCCTCTTGTTCTGCTGCGTATTGAATTTCGTTATGGAATTGATTTTGAAGGATTTCCCATCCGCTTGTGGCGCTGACTATCCTCTGGCAACTTCCTTTTATAGCTTGGAATCCGAACACGGCACAGGTGTTCTCTCAACACTTGATAGGCCATCAAATTAATTTGTCAATAGCTGTATGGGAATGTGTGTGTTTGAGGGTAGCATATTTGATAGCCTTATTATCCCATCAAAAATATCACTTGTCAAAATTGAACATGCATATCGGCAGGATAGGTGTCACTTTCATGCCACTTCCATGAATTATGAAGGGGATAATTTTTTCATAGGTGGATTTTGAAAAATAAAATATTTGGAGACTATCACAAGGCGTGGATTTTTTAAAAGAATTTTGGAGACTATCACAAGGCGTGGATTTTTTAAAACGAATATTTTTGGAGACTATCACAAGGCGTGGATTTTTTAGAAGAATATTTTTTGGAGACTATCACAAGGCGTGGATTTTTTAAAAGAATATTTTTGGAGACTATCACAAGGCGTGGATTTTTTAAAAGAATATTTTTTGGAGACTATCACAAGGCGTGGATTTTTAAAAGAATATTTTTGGAGACTATCACAAGGCGTGGATTTTTTAGAAGAATATTTTTTGGAGACTATCACAAGGCGTGGATTTTTTAAAAGAATATTTTTGGAGACTATCACAAGGCGTGGATTTTTTAAAAGAATATTTTTGGAGACTATCACAAGGCGTGGATTTTTTAAAAGAATATTTTTTGGAGACTATCACAAGGCGTGGATTTTTAAAAGAATATTTTTTGGAGAATATCACAAGGCGTGGATTTTTTAAAAGAATATTTTTTGGAGACTATCACAAAGTGGGGTATTTTTTAAAAGAATATTTTTTGGAGACTATCACAAGGCGTGGATTTTTTAAAAGAATATTTTTGGAGACTATCACAAGGCGTGGATTTTTTAAAAGAATATTTTTGGAGACTATCACAAGGCGTGGATTTTTTAAAACCTATTTTTGGAGACTATCACAAGGCGTGGATGTTTTAAAAGAATATTTTTGGAGACTATCACAAGGCGTGGAATTTTTAAAAGAATATTTTTGGAGACTATCACAAGGCGTGGATTTTTTAAAAGAATATTTTTGGAGACTATCACAAGGCGTGGATTTTTTAAAAGAATATTTTTGGAGACTATCACAAGGCGTGGATTTTTTAAAACCTATTTTTGGAGACTATCACAAGGCGTGGATTTTTTAAAAGAATATTTTTGGAGACTATCACAAGGCGTGGATTTTTTAAAAGAATATTTTTGGAGACTATCACAAGGCGTGGATTTTTTAAAACCTATTTTTGGAGACTATCACAAGGCGTGGATTTTTTAAAAGAATATTTTTGGAGACTATCACAAGGCGTGGATTTTTTAAAAGAATATTTTTGGAGACTATCACAAGGCGTGGATTTTTTAAAAGAATATTTTTGGAGACTATCACAAGGCGTGGATTTTTTAAAAGAATATTTTTTGGAGACTATCACAAGGCGTGGATTTTTAAAAGAATATTTTTTGGAGAATATCACAAGGCGTGGATTTTTTAAAAGAATATTTTTTGGAGACTATCACAAAGTGGGGTATTTTTTAAAAGAATATTTTTGGAGACTATCACAAGGCGTGGATTTTTTAAAAGAATATTTTTGGAGACTATCACAAGGCGTGGATTTTTTAAAAGAATATTTTTGGAGACTATCACAAGGCGTGGATTTTTTAAAACCTATTTTTGGAGACTATCACAAGGCGTGGATGTTTTAAAAGAATATTTTTGGAGACTATCACAAGGCGTGGAATTTTTAAAAGAATATTTTTGGAGACTATCACAAGGCGTGGATTTTTTAAAAGAATATTTTTGGAGACTATCACAAGGCGTGGATTTTTTAAAAGAATATTTTTGGAGACTATCACAAGGCGTGGATTTTTTAAAACCTATTTTTGGAGACTATCACAAGGCGTGGATTTTTTAAAAGAATATTTTTGGAGACTATCACAAGGCGTGGATTTTTTAAAAGAATATTTTTGGAGACTATCACAAGGCGTGGATTTTTTAAAACCTATTTTTGGAGACTATCACAAGGCGTGGATTTTTTAAAAGAATATTTTTGGAGACTATCACAAGGCGTGGATTTTTTAAAAGAATATTTTTGGAGACTATCACAAGGCGTGGATTTTTTAAAAGAATATTTTTGGAGACTATCACAAGGCGTGGATTTTTTAAAAGAATATTTTTGGAGACTATCACAAGGCGTGGATTTTTTAAAAGAATATTTTTGGAGACTATCACAAGGCGTGGATTTTTTAAAAGAATATTTTTGGAGACTATCACAAGGCGTGGATTTTTTAAAAGAATATTTTTGGAGACTATCACAAGGCGTGGATTTTTTAAAAGAATATTTTTGGAGACTATCACAAGGCGTGGATTTTTTAAAAGAATATTTTTGGAGACTATCACAAGGCGTGGATTTTTTAAAAGAATATTTTTGGAGACTATCACAAGGCGTGGATTTTTTAAAAGAATATTTTTGGAGACTATCACAAGGCGTGGATTTTTTAAAACCTATTTTTGGAGACTATCACAAGGCGTGGATTTTTTAAAACCTATTTTTGGAGACTATCACAAGGCGTGGATTTTTTAAAACCTATTTTTGGAGACTATCACAAGGCGTGGATTTTTTAAAAGAATATTTTTGGAGACTATCACAAGGCGTGGATTTTTCTAAATGTATTTTTGGAGACATTTTTTATATTTTTGAAACTTGTTTTCCGGTCCCCTCCTTGGTTTTGGGTTAATTATGAATATGAAACGTCGAACAACTCAACCCTTGACTCTCTAACCTCCGATGAAAGCTATGAAATGGTAGATGATTTGGAAATCCCCGAAGTCAATGTGACGGGTGACCGTGATCATCGCCTGTTAAAACTTTTGGCTGAGCACATGAATTTTGAGTTCGTCTACATTGATACACCTGGACGGACACAAGGGTCGCTAACAAATGAAACCTTTACAGGGGAGCATAGGCCTGCTGCAAAATGGGGTAAGTAAGACATCGATTTACAAACATATTTTCTCGAGTGTAACAGTTGGGTGATTTCTTTCTGGGTGATGTCTCACTGAGCTGGGAACGACGTAAGGCAATTGAATTCTGGTTCTTCACCCTGGCCGATTCGGGTGCCTTTGCTACACATGCTCTACGTCGGCTGAATGAGGCCTTGGCCATTTTGAGACCCTTTATGGCTGATGTGTGGCCCTATCTCATTTTTACGGTGATTGTATCGGGAACGGTATTTTATTTTATCATATATATACCCTTCCGCTGGCAAACGGATTTCAAGGAACGCAGGATGAAAAGGAAATTTAAAGGGAATCCCTACCACATGGTCTATATACGAGAGATTACGCGGCTGGATAATAAAATCTCACGTCGATTGGCAAGGTAGGATCGGGATAGGGATAGGAAGGCGGCTAAGGAAGATGAGCTACCGGATAATCTGTTTAATAAATGTATTTGGTTTACGGTGCAGTTATTTCTGAAGCAATGTAAGAAGTGGCGCCCAACGTTTTATCCTGGAATTTTAAATTTAGTTTTCCCTCAGCTTGCCAGGAATTATATCACGGCTATCGTGCCAAGTTCCTGATGATTGTCTATTGGATTGTTGCCACCTATGGCTTGGCTGATGTGTACTCCGCCCAAGTGACATCGCAATTTGCTCGCCCTGCACGAGAGCCACGCATTAATACCCTACATCGCCTGCAAAAGACCATGATACAGGATGGTAATCTACTGTTTGTGGAGAGGGAAAGTTCGTCGCTGGAAATGCTGGAGGTAAGTGGGGAGCGGATTTATACCGCATTTATAATCCGATTTAGATGAAACTTGACATAGGTAACTTATTTGGCCCAAGGACAAAACCTATTGAAATTGGGAAAAATTGGTTCAGATTTAGATATAGCTCCCATATAAATCGTCGGCCGATTTAAGGTAATTGGTGCACCAAGGTCCCTATATATCTCTCGATTTGCATGAAATTTGGCACAGCGTAATGAAGTAGGTCTAGAATGATGTGCGGTAAGTTTCCTGAAAATCGGTTCAGATTTAGATATAGCTCTCATATATACTTTCGTCCGATTTAAGGTAAATGGTGCACCAAGGTCCCCATATATATTTCTCGATTTGCACGAAATTTGGCACAGCGTAATGAATTAGGTCTAGAATGATGTGGGTTAAGTTTCCTGAAAATCGGTTCAGATTTAGATATAGCTCTCATATATATTTTCGTCCGATCTGAGGTAAATGGTGCACCAAGGTCCCTATATATCTCTCGATTTGCACGAAATTTGGCAGAGCGTAATGAATTAGGTCTAGAATGATGTGTGTTAAGTTTCTTGAAAATCGGTTCAGATTTAGATATAGCTCCCATATATATTTTCTTCCGATTTAAGGTAAATGGTGTTCCAAGGTCCCTGTATATCTTTCGATTTGCACGAAATTTGGCACAGCGTAATGAATTAGGTCTAAAATGATGTGCGGTAAGTTTCCTGAAAATCGGTTCAGATTTAGATAAAGCTCCCATATATATTTTCGTCCGATTTAAGGTAAATGGTCCTCCAATATCTTTCGGTTTGCACGAAATTTGGCACAGCGTACTGAATTAGGTCTAGAAAGATGTGTGTTAAGTTTCCAGAAAATCGGTCCAGATTTAGATATAGCTCCTACATATACTTTCGTCCGATTTAAGGTAAATGGTGCACCAAAGTCCCTATATACCTTTCGATTTGCACGAAATTTGGCACAGTGTAATGAATTAGGTCTAGAATGCTGTGTGTTAAGTTTTTTGAAAATCTGTTCAGATTTGGATATAGCTCCCATATATACTTTCGTCCGATTTAAGATAAATGGTGTACCAAAGTCCCTATATATCTTTCGATTTGCATGAAATTTGGCAGAGCGTAATGAATTAGGTCTAGAATGATGTGCGGTAAGTTTCCTGAAAATCGGTTCAGATTTAGATATAGTTCCCATATATATTTTCGACCGATCTAAGGTAAATGGTGCACCAAAGTCCCTATATATCTCCCGATTTGCACGAAATTTGGCACAGCGTAATGAATTAGATCTAGAATGATGTGTGTCAAGTTTCCTGAAAATCGGTTCAGATTTAGATATAGCTCCCGATTTTCGTTCGATTTAAGGTAAATGGTGCACCAAAGAATATTTTTGGACTCAATGAAATTTCATTGAGAAAAAGGCAGAAAAGGCTAAGATCCGTTGATAGAGATCTACATGTAAATGTCCGTATTTGAAATAGGTTAGGGGTAAAAGGTCAACAGGAAAAACATCCCTGACAACAATAATTCAATTTTACAACAATATGTGAAAGACAAAGGGACACCTCGGCTATCGGTGATACCTTATCAGCTGAATCCTTTTTTGTTGTTGTCATTTTTTTAGGTCTTCTAAAGAACAAAAGACGAAAAAAACAAATTGTGAAACCACTTGAGATCAATTAAGGTCACGAAGGAAAACGAAGCACTCAATGGTGTTGGGAAAACATAAATGAGGATCAGGTGTGTAAGTGTGTGTGTCTGTGTGTTTAACAGCATGATATTGTCAAGTGCATCACAACAAAAACAACATCGACACACACACAGGAAAACACAAATAAATCCTTGAAGCCAAAATCTATCCCAAAAAAAAAAACGATAAAGAAGATTTATTTAGGATCTCTGTTCCCCTTTGGTGTCATTTTTTTTTCTTTTGGAAATTCAGATTTTAGGGGATGTGTGTGTGTAGATAATATTTCATCATCCCTGGGCTCATTAGAGGGCAAATAAATGATTTTGAAAAACGTTTGAAGTGTTTGTTTTGTCATGTAATAGCGTGTCAATCGAATTTAAAAGTCAATTTGATTTATTTTTGAAAACGAAGAGAGAGAGAGAGAGAGAGAGAGAAATACCTTTCACCTGTCCCAGCTCGACGGGTGGCGGGAGGTGCATGGCTTTGGTTTCTTATAATAATATTATCATTGATTGACAAGGTGATGACAGTTGATGGGTGATAAGGGTTAGATATGAAAATAAATGTATTTTCAATATTAAAATATTTTGGGGATTTTTTAAAAAATATTTTCAGGGGTCATCAGGCGTGGATTTAAAAAAAAAAATATTTTCAGGGGTCATCAGGCGTGGATTTTTTACAAAAATATTTTCAGGGGTTATCAGGCGTGGATTTAAAAAAAAATATTTTCAGGAGTCATCAGGCGTGGATTTTTTACAAAAATATTTTCAGGGGTCATCAGGCGTGGATTTAAAAAAAATATTTTCAGTGGTCATCAGGCGTGGATTTTTTAAAAAATATTTTCAGGGGTCATCAGGCGTGGATTTAAAAAAAATATTTTCAGTGGTCATCAGGCGTGGATTTAAAAAAAAAATATTTTCAGGGGTCATCAGGCGTGGATTTTTTAAAAAAATATTTTCTGGGGTCATCAGGCGTGGATTTTTTAAAAAATATTTTCTGGGGTCATCAGGCGTGGATTTTTTAAAAACTAGTTTTGGGCACTACCATGAGGCGTGGATTTTTTAAAAGATATTTTCAGGGGTCATCAGGCGTGGATTTAAAAAAAAAATATTTTCAGGGGTCATCAGGCGTGGATTTAAAAAAAAATATTTTCAGGGGTCATCAGGCGTGGATTTTTTAAAAAATATTTTCAGGGGTCATCAGGCGTGGATTTTTTACAAAAATATTTTCAGGGGTTATCAGGCGTGGATTAAAAAAAAATATTTTCAGTGGATTTTTTAAAAATTAGTTTTGGGCACTGCCAAGAGGCTTGGATTTTTATACCCTACACAACTATGTTGTCAGGCTGTGTATAATAGCTTTGTGAAACCCCAAGAGTTTGTAACGCCACGAAATATTGGTCCTAGACCTACCTTTAAGTATACCGATCGTCATATCTCGACTAGCTGAGTCGATCTAAACATGTGTGTCCCTCCGTCCGTCCGTCTGTCCATTATAATTTATAAACACGATGCAGGTCACTGTTATGGATCGATCCTCAGGAAATTTTGCATGTAGGATGGGTTCTGGCCAATGAAGACACCTATTGTTTCGATCGATGTAGACATGTGTGTCCGTTCGACCTTCCGTCCGACCGTCCGTCTGTCCATTATAATTTGTAAACACGATACAGGCCGCCGTTATGGACCAATCTTCACTAAATTTTGCATGTAGGGTGGGTTCTGGCCAATAAAGACCCCATATTGTTTTTAGTAAAGATCGGTTAATATTTAGGGGATGAAATGGATCAACAACTTTATTTTTGTCGGTTTTTCTGGTCACTCCAGAGGCCGTAATTATGGCCCAAACATCGAGAAGTGGATCGGGCCAAAGAATAAGCATGTCTGTTTTGATAAATCGCTCGGTCAATATATAGCGGGTCAAATAGACCCTGACTTTTGTGTGAAAAATTACAAAATTTGTATTCTATAGGGAATATATTTACTCCTGAAAGACATAGAGCCGCGAAGTTGATAGTTGATATCTAAGAGGAGTGGTTGGCCTTTAAATTGATACCTACTATATAGACGTATGTACTCGGATGTGGTAGTTACACTTACATATTTACAGGTGCTTGTGTATTCATATATTAGTTAGTAACCCATTACAACACTAGAGGGTGGAAATATAGCGCTGATCGCTTTGAAAAGTTCCATGACGTTCTCGGTATGGTCAAGGACAACACCTATAATTTTCGGTAATAATCAGATAACAATTTTGGGATGAAGTGGAACGAAAACTTAATTTTGTGTGTGTGTGTGTTTTTTTTTTTTTTTTTTTGACTCGATCTATAGGCCACAATTATTAGCCGAACATCACAACACATCTCACGGTGAAGGGAATCGGGACAAGTAATTAGGAGAACTGTACTGAATATTAGTAATATTCGGAAAATATGTCAGTGTAAGGAAAAGGTGCTGTTGACCTCTAATCGGGCAAGAGGATGCAACTATCATGAAATAATACCCAGACTCGGAATAAAAATCCACAGAAAGTTAGAGTTCCGTGGTAGTTGTTGAGAGTATCGTATGGTCGGCCCCGTTCGACTTTACCACTCAGCTCACTGGTTTAAAATAAATGTTGAGGTTGTACCTACGGCGTAAATTTTTTAAAATAAATTTTTGGGGTTCTATATAAGGCGTGCATTTTTTATACCCTTCACCACACTATGGTACAGGGTATTATGCCTTTGAGCATATGTTTGTAACAGGCAAAAGAAAACGAGATAGATCCATAGTTCCTTTTGAGAATATGCTTAGAATCACTTTCTGAGTCGATTTCTGGAAGTCCGCCCGTCCGTCTATCTGTCTGTCCATGTTAAATTGTAAACAAAGTACAGATAACATTTTTGATACGAATTGGATGACCCTATTGAAATTGGGAAAAATCGGTTTAGATTTAGATATACCTCCCATATATATTTTCGTCTGAATGGTACACCAAAGTCCCTATATATCCTTCGATTTGACCGAGATTTGGCATAACGTACTGAATTAAGTCTAGAATGATGTGTGCTAAGTTTCGTGAAAATCGGTTCAGATTTATGTATAGCTCCCATATATATTTTCGTCCGATTTAAGGTAAATGGTGCATCAAAGTCCCTATATGTCTTCCGATTAGAACCAAATTTGGCATAGCGTACCGAATTGAGTCTAGAATGATGTGTGCAAAATTTCTTGAAAATCGGTTCCGATTTAGATATAGCTCCCATATATATGTTCGACCGATTTCATGTAAATGGTGTACCACAGTCCCTATACATTTTTCGATTTGCATGAAACTTGGCATAGGTCACTTATTTGGCCCAAGGACAAAACCTATTGAAATTTGGAGAAATCGGTTCAGATTTACATATAGCTCCCATATATATTTTCGTCCGATTTAAGGTAAATGGTGTACTAAAGTCTCTATATATCATTCGATTTGCACGAAATTTGGCATAGCGTACTGAATAAACCCAAGAATGATGCCTACCAAGTTTCGTGAAAATCGGTCCAAATTTAGATATAGCTCCCATATATATGTTCGACCGATTTCATGCAAATGGTTCACCAAAGTCCCTGTATATCTTTCGATTTGCACGAAATTTGGCCATTTATTAAAAAATATTTTAGGGTTCTATAGAGGGCGTGGATTTTTTAAAAAATATTTCTGGGGTTGTTCCGATTTTAAAATTATTTTCTAAAATCTCCAAAAACGTTCTAATAAATCATTGTGTGTCTTGGGATTTACGTGTGTTTATCTCTGTGTGTGTGTGCATTTGCTCATCTCAGTAGAGATAATGACTATTGTTGTTGTAGCTGTAATTCTGTTTCTGGCCATTGCAGCAGATAAGACAAATGATATCATTAGCGCGGGCATTAGCGTTCTGTTTGATTTTCATCGTCTATTTACACGCTTGGGATGATGATGATGAGGCTAAATCTATTTCTTCCCGATGTGTTCAAGCGGCAATTAATTGAGGTCTCTCTGAGGCAGAGATTCCTCAGAGTGTGGATAACAGCCGAAACCACAGTGCCGTATCATCTCGGCTCGCTCGCTCGCAACAAGTGCATGTTTGATTAAATAAAAGGCCAGTAGAACCGACGGAACAAAAAAAATTGTTACCATTGTTTGTTGTGTGATAAGCAATTGTTGTTGTTGTTGTTTCCTAAATGAATTAAGGTATATATTTATTTATATTTACTTAGTAGGTAGATATTTTGAAATGCTAAACAATATTTTTTCTACTTTTTTTTTTTTTTTTTGGTTTGTAAAGAGCATTCGAAGTTCTGGTCCTCTTCGTTTTTAGTATTGGGGGCAATATGATGTATGATGGTGTTGATTTTAGGGTTAAATATTTAAAAAGTTTTAAAATGATTTAATGAGATTCTAATTGAAAAAAATTAAAAATCTAGTGGCGGTGTAATCCCAACACAAATATTGAAAAAAATAGGGGAAAAGGTTTAAAAAGGTTTAAATTAGCAGTGCAGTTAGGGATTAGAGGGCACATATAAAAAATATATGGCAGCTATATCTAAATCTGAAGCGATTTTCAAGAAACTGAACACACACCATTCTAGACATAATTCAGTACGCTATGCGAAATTTTGTCCAAATCGAAAGATATATAGGGACTTTGGTGCATCATTTACCTTACATCGGACGAAATTATATATGGGAGCTATATCGAAATCTGAACCGATTTTCACGAAACTTGGCAGACATCATTCTAAACGTAATCCAGTAC